GCCAAGATACAAACTCGTCAAAGAGACAAGAGGAGACTGCGACCACAACATCTTGGTCTTCATATATTCAATCAAACTACAGGAGTGGTATAAAGTTGAGCAAAGGATTGGCTTTACTTGCCTCTTTGACGGGTTGTCATTTGGTGATAAGACTGACATAACTAATTGGCGAATCCAGCCAAATATCTAGGAGTGTACCAAGTACATAGTCCGACTCTGAAAAGTATCATGCATATTATGGACTCCGGGCAAGATGCATTCTTCTAGGATTTCCTGACAATATGACCAAGTTAAGAAAACAAGGTCAAACAACTGGAAAATTAAGGCTCTTAATGTTACCTACTAAGCAGAATCACTCATCATGAAAACACAGCTCATAGTATAAGTACTGCATCTACCTGAAGGGAGGAAGAACTGAGCCTCGCAGACGCTCTCCTCAAGTGAAGTGAAAGCAGATCGGCCATTTTCTGTTTCACTCTGCCTAGGATCACCAGCTACTCTCATTTTGTCAGAAATGGCACAGTCACGTACATTTGGCTTTGCAGAGTGCCAGTGTCGTTTTCCATTCCGCCAGAGAGACAATCCCCAGGCGTTATTCGTGTCACAAATGCATATAGCTGTATCCGTGTACAGACAGACAAGCCATAGGCTCCAAAGGGGTAAACTAGTTTGTAGGCAACGGGCAGATCTAAGGCGTTCGGCCGACATCTTGAGTAGCCTCTGTAGGAAAGGATGAAAGACAAATTAGCATAAAAACATTAAAATAGTAATATTAGATATGAAAAACAAGATGTGAAAAATTGATGTCGAAGTACCTTTCATTTCGTTAGAAGAGGCGGGGGAAAAGGACCAGTCCGTCACGACGGACGAAAACTCAGCAAGGATTCATCGGGGTAGCAGGGCGGTGCGCCGGGGGCCAATTCGCACAAATCTACAGTCATGGCTCCAAGGCAATCCCCCTACAGCTTCCGGTGAGTCCAACTTACGAATCTCTTCACCTCTTAAAACGAAATGAGAGATGCACAAACATCAATCTATTAGGGGACTCTTCGAAGCCGAGTTTTTCTACATACCTACGTTATAGCAAATGTTTTGGTCGCAATCTCCATTATATGTAGAAAAGTGATCTGATTTTGTTGTTGAGTCATGGCCGTGCTGTCTTCGTGTTGTCTGAAGTTATCTGCTATCGTATTTATTATAATTCCCAGGTTGGGCCGTAGACATGGTACATTCCAAGACATTTAGCCGACATCATCAGTGAGTTCTGCCATTCTCAGCAGCCAGATACAACTCGTCAGAGGAACAATTGAAGTAACTCTCTTGACCAACTTTCTGTCGAACGGTTGTGCTATTCTGCTACATACTTCCTAAGCTTTTACCCACTTCCACGTTATCAAAACTTTTGACCTGCCTATATTCGACGTCTCTAAAGGCGTGTCGTTTTTAGGATAGTTCAATGTGGTATCACCTCATCTACTGCTTACCTTGTCATCCCATTCTCCCAATTTGCTGATCCGACTCGGACCTCCTATACGAATCTCCTTCATGGACCAGGAGTTTCATTTTTCATCATGCAGGTTGACTGAGTTCATTCGGTTCCAGTCCAAGCATAAGGCTTACTCCAGGAGCTGTTTCTCAAGCCTTTAATAGCACATACACTTTCGTCTCACCAAACAGAGCTCCCAGGCTCTGATTCCTATCTTTGCAGATAGCAGGGAATGACCTGAGCAAACTATAGGCATCCATTTCCGGCGGCCTGCTGAATTTTGAACAAATTTCTAGCCAATTTGACCATAATGCCGAATAGACTACTTCACTGAGAACGCTTGATTTCCGAATGTTCCACACGC